CACACACATACGGACAATTCACAATAGTTTATATAAACTCACTCTTTCTCTCTGTGTCTCAGACGCACGGTGAGAGTGTAGCATATCATATACACACATGGGTGATATCCGTACCTGTAAGAATAACAGCAGGGTGCTAAATTGTAACGAAAGCGGTCAGAACAGATTTATGTTTGAATTTTATTCAAATCTCTGTGATTGTATACAAATGCATAAGAATGGAACATATAATATCCCTTGCACCACTTTTAGTCAACTATCTATAGAAGTCGAAATCTATAGAAGTAAAAGGTCCTGCAACTAATTATTGTCTTATCGCTTCATGTAAAAGGCATTTATTTTATCACCTTTTTTCAGGTAGTTAACTTATTGGGGACTCTTTTTTTTAGAATGCCATTTACGTTACACCATATGTAGTGAAGATATATAGCAAATAGGAAGTCATTTAGGAGTTGGCCTAACAGCAGCAAAAGAGTTTTAATATGGTAGTTTTACAAAGAGAAATGTAAAATCTAACTACGTACTGTATAAGCAGCGAAAAATACTACAGCTAAATAAATTAAAGTCAATTTGATTTAGAGAAAGAAACTAACCCAAGTTTCACACTCAGATCAAACCAAGCATTCAAAACATACTGTAGCAGAAACGATCAATGTATGAAAAAAAAAAAAATACCTGGTCATAATTCCAGCAACTCCAGTGACTAATTTATCTAGCAGAAGGCAGCTCATCAGGAAAGCAATATTTTCACAGACTTTCATAGATTCATAAGGTCTGATTAGCCTTTCACAGGGTCTGATTAGTGAAGTGACTACACTAGTGGCTTGTTAAAAAAAAGTTGCTAATGAAAACAGAATGTTTAAAGAAGATTAGACAGAGAAGTATGCATTACTTCTTCAAATTCTACATCCCACTTCAACTTGTCTCATCTGTTCATCTCTTGAGTCCTTCACAAATTGTAGTTGAACACCCCTGATGTGTGGATTATACAGTACAAAATATCCACAGTTTGTTACAGTATAACATTAGTGGCTACTTCAAATCATTCAAATCAGTCTGAACAGATGAACTTTGAAACCTGTGTTTATGAACAAATCCAGCAGCAGGATATTCTGACCCGTCAAACTTTCAGTAAAGTACACACACACACACACACACACACACACACACACACACACACACACACACACACACACACACACACACTTCCTGGTCTCTCTCTCTCTCTCTCTCTCTCTCTCTCTCTCTCTCGCTAACTTGCTGAAAGCCTGGCAGGCTCAGGAGCCTCTCATTATAAGTTGTGAGTAAATGGAGGGAATCCGTGTGTGAGCATCAGCAGGCAGAGCCACATGCAGCAGGACACACATCTGACTAATGAGAGACCCGAGTCTGCCTCACACTCACACACAGACCGAGCCCTGGGTGGAGCTGTTCAGGCTGCCAGGACCCACAGGAGCAGAGCCAAACCTCAGCACCCAGACACACCACACACTGGCGCATATAACACACACATACACGCACGGCTCGGGAGAAGCTTCTGGTGCTGTTACACTCAGTAGCTAGTGTATGATTTGTGTGTTTCTTCATGTCATGAGTTTTCTTCATTCAATAATGCTTTTCTCTCTTTTTCTCTAGCACCCACAGTGCCACCCACCCTGCCTGTCCCCCCAACCACACCATCCGACGAGTGTGACGATGAGCAAGCCAACTGTCACAGTGGAACAGGTGATGACTACGAGCAGACAGGTGCTAACAGCAGAGCCTGCGCCCTTCCTTACTACACCTTTCATGCTAACTATACACGCTAAACTAGTTTTTTAAAAAAACTAACCTTTCCTTACTTGCATATTCTGGCTAATTCCACAAAGCATGTTGCCCTTTTCACATTTTCCACATACTTAACACCATGCACGCAGGCTTACTTGAGCACATTCATGGGTCATTGCTTCTATCACCTAACACTAATGCTAACTGATTCAGCTTTATGCTAACTGAACAAACCCTTAATTTTAGACACTTAAATGTTTTTAGCTGCTGTTTATATGCCATCTCTGTCCTGTTTGCAGCAGCTTTGCAGTGTTGTGTTAACACCTTTATGTAGCCTATGATATTAAAGGGAGGCAGATTTTTTAAAGATGCATTGCTAGCATTAATTTAAAAATCACTTATAAAGTTAAAGGTACAGTTTGTAATTTTGTAGGTTTTTCATTCATTTCTAGATTAACGAGAGGCCCTTCTGCCTCACGTTAACCTAATGTTAATCCAAAAGGCATTTGCGTAGTTAAAGGTGCAGTTTTTCATTATTTTCTAGACCATTGAAAAACATGTAATTTCAATACTGCCTTGGAAATATGTTATAAATATGTTTGTTTCAGGCTTCTGTGTATATTTTTTCCAGCCCATAAATTAGCCCCACCCCCAGTTAAGCTCTGTGCATTTTTTTTAACTCATTAAGCAAACATAATTTTTAAAGAGGGGGTATGGATGTTTGGATGAAGAGGAATGACTGTTAATGTTTTCACCATGATTGCAAAGGGCTCTAAAATTACATACTGCTCCTTTAATCAATTAACAGGAACTTACAACTTAAGTTAATAACAAGTTAAGTTAAGTTATCCTTAAGCTGTGCAAGTTGTTAAGGTGTGTGAATTGGGTCCATATCTAGCTGTGTGTCTGATTTCACGTTGTCCCTGGCGCAGGTAGCACTACTGTTCCTGAGACCACTACAGAGATGAGCCCCTTGCCAGGTAAGACAGCTTAACAGTTATACGGGCTTTCACATTATTTGTTTCTGTCCTTCCATTACCAGATACTCTCCTTTCTTTTAGCTTAGCTGTAGGTAGACATGAACATTTATGAGTTTCATAATTGTTAATGAGTGCGGTTATAATTCAGCTTGTTCAGCATTAACACAGATAAAACTGCATGCTAATGGACAAAAACTGAGTGGGAGGACAGGACAATCCAGTGCTCTCTAATTAACTTTTTTTTTTTTTTAACAAAACCAAAAGCATGTGTGTGGTCTTTATGTGTTAATATTGAACAGGTATGTCTATTCCATTTTGAATGTGGTTTATTTGCTATGTGGAGGATTCAGAAAGTTTTGGACTTGTGATGAAACTTGTTCCTGCCCAGTGCCTTCCGCTGCCGCAGTCTAAATCCTCTCGAGATGGAAAAAGAGAAATAACTTTTAATTGGATAGCGGTATTTTTGAGGAACAGTGGCAAGGAGCCTTAGCTGTGGCTTTTAATGGAAAATTTTTTCCTCTTCACTGAGCAAATACTCTGCAGAAGCCACTCTGAATCCTCACGTTATTGCATTTCATACTGTCTGGAGAAAGAAAGGCAACAACATCGTTTGTCTTTTATCTGTTTTTTTTTTCTCTTGTCTGGATTTTACAATCCCCTGTTCTCTTGTTTTCCTGTCTTCCCTCCTGTCACACAGAAAAGAGTGTGCCCTGTATTAAACAGCCTCGATTTCACACCTTCTGCCTGTTTCATCAATATTATGCACATATAAATATCACTCACAAGATCTTGCATCTCATGCAAGATCATGCATAATCAGTGACAGCTTTTTGCATTTTTTAAAGATGTTTCTTTTTAAAGAATCAGTTTAATTGTATTATTTTGTCTAATTTTAGCAGGGTATTCTACTGCCCCCTAATGGTGTAGCTTTCAATACTGCAGAAAGCTGGCTGCTTCTCAGTTGTATTAAAAGTTAAAGAGTAAAAGAAGTCATTAAAATAAATAAATTGCTAAAATATAACTAAAGCAAATGTCTTTGTAATTCTAAGTGTCTGTGTTTGTGTGTTTGTAGCTTTCTTGTGGTTTGCCTGTGACTTTGGCTGGGCGAACAACCCCTCCTTCTGTGGTTGGACATCTGAGGGGGGCAGCTACAGGTGGCAGATTCAGTCCAGTGGCACACCCACATTAAACACTGGCCCCAACATGGACCACACAGGTAACACGCAAAGATACTCACAATTAACAAAAAATACAATAACACAAACCAACGCAATTTAGCAGGCAAATTTAGAACATATTTGGAAATCGCTTTCTTTAAACTATAGCTCAGGTAGCTAATCATCATTCCCTCAACTTCATATTGGTTCTCTCCAGGTGGCTCTGGAAACTTCATCTACACCCTAGCGACTGGCACACAGAAGAAAGAAGTGGCACAGCTCATCAGTCCGGCTGTTTTGGGTCAGGACTCGGATCTGTGCCTCTCCTTCTGGTACCACATGTTTGGCTCTCACATTGGCACTCTGCACATCAAGCAGCGTCACGAGAGCGGTCGTGAAACAGCCGACGTGCTGCTCTGGACCGTCAGTGGACATCAGGGCAACCGCTGGAGGGAGGCCCGTGTGCTGATCCCACATTCAAGCAAACCCTACCAGGTGTGTGTATGGGAGTGTGTATTAGATCGATATACCAAAAATCTATCCATCATATTTCTAATGTGTAAGAAATATGATGCACACTTGGCAAGTGAGGCAGTTGTTTTGCACTGGCCATACAACAAGCTAGCAAGACTTGTGCACAGAAGAGATACTGCAGAGTAATGAACACATCTTCCATAGAACTCTAAAATTTTTCTGTGTTTATCAGGTGGTGATAGAGGGTGTAGTGGAGGGACAGAGCTTGGGAGACATCGCTGTGGATGACATTAAAATCCTGGAAATCAACATGGTGGACTGCAAAGGTGAGTCAGCCATAAAGCTCATAAATATCAGTAAGCAGCCTGCATGTTGAATTGTCAGTCAAATAGACTTAAACGCACATAAAATGTTAAATTTGAGTTAAGCTTTGATAGTTTTCATTCAAGTGGCAAATGAATGCCTACGCGAAGTGCTTGTCAGTGAATATAACTATCTTCTGTGTTGTGTGTGCGTGTAGACCCAGATGTCCCTACAGAACCCATGCTACCTGAAGACTTCAGTAAATTCCGTAAGTCTCCTGTTTTGAATTTACACCACATACAGACATAATGGTATTGGGTCCCTGGAGGACTAGTGGTTAGGCCATGGCGCTCTCACTGTCGCGGCCCAGGTTCTATTCCTGGCCAGGGAACCAACCCCAGCCACTCAGGTTGCACATGACGGTGCACTCCCAGTGCCAGTCCCAAGCCCGGATAAAACTGGGGTCAGGAAAGGCATCCGGCATGAAAACTGTGCCAAATCAGAAATGATCTGCTGTGGCGACCCTTAACAGGAGCAACCAAAAGAACAACAACAACATAGACATAGACATAATGGTATTATTAAAAAGAAAAAAATGTTATCCATTAAGGTACAAAGAAGCTGGTGTAAGTGGTGTTGATGTGCTCCCGAAAAATTCCACCACCTCCCTTCAGTTCCACATCCTCCATCCAAAGACACACACAAACTCTCAAAATAACTACCAGAAAAAAGTAAACACCAATTTTCAAGCCCTTAATATCACTCAGGTCTCTCAGGCACATCATTTTGTAGTGTATTGAAACTTTTGGTCAAACCCCAGTCTTGTCTGCCTTTTCTTCAACAAGATACTGTATATCAATACATCTGACTTATTTCCTACTCTGTCACACTTCACTAGCACCTCACTTCCTGTTTATTTATCGCATAGCCTTAAATGGACTGTCCATGCGTATAAAATAGAATTGACAGGAAGGGAGGACTGCCTCTTTGCAGAGAAGTTTCCTGATTGGTTAGTACAGAAGGACTATTTATTATTCAGAGCCTGAGACAGTCACAGGGACAGTCACACATACATTTTTTATTTAGATTATCTGTTTTAGAGATACCTATCAAGATCAACAGTTCTATCAACAGTTTTCCCTAAGTTTTATTTTGACCAAAATCACTTTTAGAAGCTTTAATTATATTTTCACATTAAGTACATTTATTCAATACAGAGTAAGACTGTCAGATTGACTTGAATCTCTCAGCAAATTACCAGATCATTATCTTTAGTTGTCAGTTATTGCATCTTTACCCAAGCAGCCTTCTTTGTCTATAAATAATATTCATCTTCCTTCTCTAGCTGTGGACATCACCAACTTCCCAAAGACTGTCGAGAACAAAGAGATCAGTGGAACAGGGAACATGCTGAATACTCTGGACCCCATCCTGATCACCATCATCGCCATGAGCGCGCTGGGCGTCTTCCTGGGCGCCATCTGCGGCGTGGTGCTCTACTGCGCCTGCTCGCATGGCTCCATGGCCGACAGGAACTTATCCGCCCTGGAGAACTATAACTTTGAGCTGGTGGATGGCGTCAAGCTAAAGAAGGACAAGCTCAACTCACAGAACTCATACTCAGAAGCATGAGGCTCAAAACCAATTAGAGGACACCTCTCCTCAGGGAGGTGGGCTGAAAAAAAAATAAACAGACTGACGGCACTCTCCCATTGGATGAGGACAAGGCTCTGAGGTTCTGAGAACCAATGGGAGGAGAACTGGGACTGAGCCGTGCTTTTCTCAGGAGCTGCAGTGAACAGAACCTACCAGTAGGGGACACTGTGTACAAAAACATTGAATCTGAGGTTGAAGGAGATGAAAAACAAACAAACAAAAAAGAATATGTACAGAGGATTTAGATGATTATTTTAATTTTATTATTTTATTATTTTTTATTATTTTTTAGTTGCTCATTTTTACAATCGGATGCTGGTGTTGAGACCAATATATGAAAATGTTATACATATTTATCTTTTTTTTTTCTTTGTCTGGGAGGGAAAAAAAAACATTTTTTAAAGGTTTTTTTTTGTGTTTAAAGGAGATGTGTAAAAAAAAAAAATCCAAAATGAACCACGTCTGATAACCCATAATGGGACGCGTATCTGAGGGTGTGGTTCAGTCAGTGCCTTTGGTACATCTTTCTTGGCCTCATTTGTTGATTTGTGAATTTTTCTTTCATCCCTTTAGTTCTGGAACAAAGACAAACACACAAAAACAAAAGAGGAAAAAAAAAAACAAATACGTTGGTCACATGACCCTACAAACATGACCTGGTTTATTCATTGCGCTTTAATTTTGAGATCCCACATATTGTATATACAGTAAGTTTTAATATATTTTATTGCCGTTTTCAAAGAAAATGAGTAAAAAGGACAAAAAAGAAGCTGCAGTATCCCTTTTTTCTTTGGTGTTGTAAATACAATCGTCTGACTGTTTTGTGAAGGTGAAAACGTGTGCTATTTCCGTCCCATTTGGTTATTTTATCACATTTCCCAGAAATGCAGCTAATGTGGTAAATGCTGGTGGTTCACACACACAAACACAAACACAAACACACACACACACTGACACTCATTCTCCAGCAAGTTACATGCTCCATGGATCATCACTGAGGCTCCATAAGTGTGTACACTTTGTGCTTACACTTCACCTAGATCTCACAAACATTTACAGATCACATCTGTCCACATGTGTTACAATCATCCTTAAGGCTTAAGATCTCAACGGGGGGAAAAATCAGGTGCACCCCGATCTCTTTTCTCTGTTTCTCTCTATAGCTATGTTTTGAATGTTTGCCATCATGTCAGAAACAAACAAATCAACATCGTCATCATCGCCTCAAGCATTTCTCCTGCATTTTAAATCATCCTCTCACCTCGAATGCACTTTGTCTTCATCTGTCTTGCGTAAGACTCGTGAATGGGATGTGTTTAAGAATGGTGCTATCGTCTTTGTGTTTGGCGAACCATCGTAGCACATCTTTCACCGCTGGCCTTGTCTTCTGGACTGCGCTCATTCTCCTCGTCCTCGGATGTCACACATGGTTGGATGGCGTGACGATAATGCTGTCATCACATAAGCATGACATTTGCGTTGTGTATGATTTAATACAGGAATCATTACTTTGGCCCTTGCGTCTGTACCAAAGGACTGTTGCCTCAAATCACACAGGGCTGCATATGCCATACAGAGGACGTGCATCAGCTCGGATTTGGATAAGGCACTGGACTTAATAAAAAGAGAACAGCATATGAAGGACTGACTCAAATTATAAACCATGAAATGCTGACTTGTCATTCAACACCACGAAACGATATAAAACCTAAGAACTTCATATCACATGTAGTATAACCCAGGGCACTCCACCTCACTCCCTTTCTCTGTCTCTCTCTCTCTCTCTCTCTCTCTCTCTCAAACACACACACACACATACACACACACACTCACACCTAAACTGATTCATATTTTAAAGGTTTCTTGGTATGTTTCTGTGCTGTGCTGTGTTCTGTGGCAAACACGTTCTCTATTCATTTATCTCCAGTAGTTTGCAATGCCATGACCCCGTTTCTCAATGCTACGTGTGTGTTAGCTGAAGCTAAAGGTGGACTAGCTTCAGTAAGGTTTAATGAAGAAAGCATACTGTAGCATCAAGGAAAAAAAGAAACAATGTTGCACTGATAGATATATTTAAAGAGGTTTATGTGTTTATAGCATTCATTTGTAAAAAACAAAATCTTCATTAAAAAAAGGACAGTGTTCATTTTTTTATAGTTTCAGAATATGTAAAATAATTCTGAAATATATGGTTATTGAGATGTTTTCATTATTGAAAAAGGTATACAAATTTCCTATAGTAAAGTTCCCGTTTACCTGATTGATTATCTTTGGTTTTGTATTGTCATTCAAAATTTGTGCTAATTTGTTTTTCTTTTTTTTTTACACAAGAAGGGGAGAAACTTTTATTTTCAATACTGATTCTGTAATTGCTGTTGTAGGAAGACGAACCTGAATAAAACAGCAAGGCCTTAAAAAAAACTGTCAATCAATGTTTTGTATTTCAACATTCTGCATCACTTAAGGAAAATCACCAATGTCAACTGTCTCTCATCAACTTAGCTCAACGTACATTCCAAAGATTCAGATCCAATAAAAGTTTTCCTAAGACATGCTGGATGCTGTTGGCTTATTATTTCCTATACATAGTGCCCTAAATATTGAATATTCCTATACATATTAAGCAAAAGTCTTAAGGACTCAAATGTTTTATATAAATTTAGTCTTAGATGTTTATGTGATGTGGTCTGTCATGAACATGGATGCAAATGGAGATTTATTGGGAAAACAGACAAATTCAAAGGGCAAAGACAGTCGAAATCAAAGGTGTGATGGGCGAAGGGTTCAGGCTATCAACAAACAGACTGTCCAATTTCACTGTCCAATTTCTATGTCTGTTGCTTTATGGCAACAGACTTTGCCATAAAGCGGCTTAAAAGAAATCCAGATGTAGACTTAGATCCCTAATGAGAAAGCCAGAGGCAACAGTGGCAAAGAAAAACTCCCTAAATTACACAAGGAAGAAATCATGAGAGGAACCAGACTCAGAAAGAAATTCATCCTATAAGTGACACCAGATACTGGGATTATAAATCACTCCAGTACACAGGTGTAGTAAAGACAAGCTGTACTAAGGGTGTTGAAAGGGTGTTCAGTATGACCATACTGTGAATAAAAGTCTTGGAATGAAGAACATCTTTATGATTGCAGCAACAGTTCTTTGGCACAAATCTACAGTATCCAGATGAGATTGTGTGTCTGTTTTGGGAAGTTCACATCTTTCAGGTATCCATATAGGACCTTACCCAATGCAAGAAAGTGAGCCATAAGTACAGAAACTCCAACAGAAATAAAGCATCAGGCCAAATCAGGCAGGTTCAGAGGGCGAGAGGAGCCACAGCTGTAGAAGTGTGAATGGATCAGACAGTACACATATACCAGGCAAAACAAACTCAGATATCTGAATTAATGTGTCAGTAGAAGAGAGTCATTTCAGCTTTCCAAACATGTTGCAGAGAAATGCTATATGTTGTTAAAAAAAGGAAATTTTTAAGAAATAGTCCATGTTTTCACATTAAAATATGAGGCAGAAGCAAGTAAGAGCCAAACTGTAAGCTTTCCAAGATTCCTGAAACAACATACAAGCTGATTTCCTCATAAAACTTCAGAGAACTGATGCAATCTTCAAGGAAAAGGATGGCATTAAATAATGCTTTTTACTGTTTATTATTCTTTCTTGTATTTTTTTTTATTTATATGCACATGTGCACAGTTTAAAGCCTTTACAAACACTTT